CCGAGGGCCGGCGACCTTTCGGCTCGCCCTGCCGCCTCGACAGCCGTCATGGCGGCAGTCACGTGACCGCGCCCCGGCGCCACTCTGGCGCCCTACCGCCTCGCTAGCTGTCATGGCGGCTACCACGTGACCTCCAGTTATGCCTAGCGTCCCGTTGCCTCGGTAACTGTCATGGTGCCTGACACGTGATCTCCGCCTCTGCACTGGCTTCCGGTCACTGTGGTTGAGTATTCTCGGCTCTTCGACTCCCTTTTTTTCTCCCTAGTGGACCTCGATTTTGCCCTTCTTCCCTCAGTAGGAGTGCCACGCTGACTCTGACGGCCCGGGTAAGTGTGTCAGAGGAGGTGCTTTTACTGGTGCTCTCCCTCCCCGTTGACCCCCAGGTCCCCAGCTGTAGTCCCCCCTCCATTTTACTTTGGTCTTCATAGAATCCTGGATACTGCTCTAAAAAGCTCTAAAATAAACTGATGCCCCGTAACCAACGAAAGATAGAAATTCCATATTGGTGCCACAAATAAAAAATATTGACAGCTAGATTTGCCGAGTCCCCTTGCTCCGCTTCTGTACCGGCTGCCCTTGCTCCCCATCGCCCAGGCTGCATAGGGCTGCTCGGGGGGGGGGCGGTGTGCAGGTGAGCTCGGGGACCTCGTTCCTGCATGGGGGCGGCCGCTGTCCGGGGCCCGGCTGAGAGGCGGCGCCCAGAGGACGCAGGGGCGGAAATCTTGCTCCACGAAATAAGCGGAGACTGCGGCGTTGCGGTCACAGAGCTTCGCTTCGCTCAGGCTTTCCCGAAAAGCAGGTTTATCTGGAAGGGGGGGGGGCGGTGTGCAGGTGAGCTCGGGGACCTCGTTCCTGCATGGGGGCGGCCGCTGTCCGGGGCCCGGCTGAGAGGCGGCGCCCAGAGGACGCAGGGGCGGAAATCTTGCTCCACGAAATAAGCGGAGACTGCGGCGTTGCGGTCACAGAGCTTCGCTTCGCTCAGGCTTTCCCGAAAAGCAGGTTTATCTGGAAGGTGTTCCGATGGTATCTTCTGAAAGGTCTTGTAAAGCGTTTGAGTCGTAAATGAACTTCGGTTTTCATAGAGGATATAGTGCTTCTCTGGTCATTAAGTATGTGTTGCTTCTCAAAACCAGTGTTGTCACGAATGAGTGAGTAGCAGTGCCCGCTGTGCAGCCCACCTTTATTTCTAATAAGTCTGTTGACGACCTTGTGCCATGGCTTCCTGTTTAGAAACCTTGACGGAACTCTGTCTGACTTCCCGGAATCCGACTGCGGTACTTAAGGCCGCCTGGGCCGCCTGACCGCCCCCCTGTTCCTGACTCGCACTACCTACTGGATAGGCAGCGACTGTGGGCAGGAGACGCTGCCTTTTTTTCCTTTTTTAATTTAGCATCTCTCTTAGTTTTTCAATGTTTTCACTCTTAAGGTAGAAGTTATTAATCAAATGTACTTCTTTGTTATAGGCTTGATTTTTTTCCTGCTGTTTTATGGAAAATACTTTTATTCTAGAACTTGTGCTAGAACCAATCCATTGGTGTCTACAGTGTGGGGAAATATAATGAATTGAAAGCCTGTTTATTAGCTCTAACAGTGTTAAGTGAGGGTCACCATTGCAGTCTCTTATGGAATTTCGAACTTCTGGCCCTGGGTCCCTCTCACCTGCAGCTGTCAACCCAAGTCTCCGATACTCAGAACAGCATTAGCATCTCAGGTTCCTTCCTCACACAGTGAGCTGGAACTTTTCCATAAGATCGCCTTATTCTGGGGTGATTTCTGCACATAAAGTAAATGTTGCTACAGTATTGTTAAAATACACTTTTGCAGTGTACTTTAGCCTTGAAGTTTCTCTGGGCAACTTTCCAGGTGCTATTGTGTTGTTTCTTTTTAATCACCCTCATCTAAATGTAGACTCCCATAAATAAGAGTTTGCATATAAAATATATGTGTGCTGCTGGACAGTGAGATGTTGGAAAGAAGGTCGGGATGAGTATTGCAAGTACACAGGCATTACAGGGGGACGGGGACGGGGACGGTCGGCCCAAGTGGGCCTTTGGCAGAGGACAATGAGCAGTGACTGGTAGAGTGACTAAGCTGCTGCTCACAGGAGAGACAGAAGCAGGGTTTTGTTGATTGCTGGTGTGGGCCAAAGCCCAGTCATATTCACTGGTTCATTTTGGATCGTCAGGGCCAGGTCGTAACACTCAGCTCATCCTAGAGGCAGTTGAGTTTTTTGCGTATCTGATGCCTTTGTCCTGCACAAAACATCTTGGTCTTGTACTTGACAGACCCGACAGGCCCTCAGCTCCTGCTCTGGAACTGATGAGCTACTCAGCAGGTGTCCTCGTCCTGCATAACAATCCTGGCCTTAGGAGAGGGTTGAAGGACTTAGTGCTGGAGCTCCTGAAAGTTACAAGTTAAGATAGAAGAAACACACAGCCGCTCCCAGGGGTAGTAGGCAGACTAACCCTGTATCATAGTCATGGGCAGAACATTTTAAAATGATGAACATGTCGGGCTGGAGATTTAGTTCAGTGGTGCTGCCTCCTGCCTTAATACTGCAAGGTCCTGAGTTCAATCCCTGCTACCAAAAAAGAAAAAAAAAAAAACGATGAACATGCCTATGTGCAGAGGTGAGTACGGTCTGGCTCCAGGGTTAAAACGGCAGAGGAGGCAGGCACAGTGTGAGGACAGATGCCAGTCCTTTATCCCATTTTAGTCACCCATCAGGTATCGGTAGCCCCTGAAGAATCAGTGTTCTCAGCAAAAGCAGGCTCAGATCCTTCGGCAACTGTTGCCACATCCCAAATATTACAGCCTTATCTACAGCCTGGTGGGAACCTCATAATATAGGCCTTATGTGCAGCCTTCATGAGTTGACTAAAAAGGGAAGCCAGAGGGCTTATCTAGGATTTTTTTGGGGGGTAGCAGCTTTTTATATCACACAAACATTTTACTTTTGTGGTTTGTCAGGATCTTATGGTAGGTCTCTTGAAAAAATGCCATGCTGTGAAGGGTGATAGATTAGTTGCTCTCAGGGTTTGTCTCGTCTTCCCACCCTTCTGTTCTACCGTTGTCCTGCATATTCTCTAGTAAACTCTTAATTTAAAAATAATTTTTATACTGTATTCATTGTTTATGAACTATTTTGTCTTTAATTATATATATATATGTATTTTTTTTTGTGTGTGTGTGTGTGTGTACAGAAGACAGCTGGAAAAAATGACCCATTGGTTTCATAGGAACCCACTAAAAGCTACAGCTCCTGTCTCTTTTAACTACTATGGTGTGGCCACCGGCCCTCCTGCTTCAAAAATTTGCAAGTAAGTTTTGGTCAAAGTCAACAAGCATGAGGCAGGTATTCTTTTAGGTTTCATGGGCAATGTGGAGTGTGTAACACATTGTCCCTAACTTTAGACTTCTTATCAATTTGTAAATGACAGTGAAGAGTGAAATAATAGATTATTTAAACTTTGGCTATCATCTATGCCTTGGTCATTAATTTAAGAGTAGTACAAGAGTCCTGGGAGACTAAAGCAGTGACAGTGATAGAGTTAAGCTTGCTTTACCATAATGAATGAGACCCCATAGAGTAGGATATGGACATTATTAGTTGGCTGGCTAGTAAACTCATTGAGTTCAGAGCAGGGAGAGGTCCCAGTGACTTGGAATGGCCATCACAGAGGTCACACAGGAGAAAGGACTGGAGCTGGGTTTAAATGCTATGGCTTAGATCAGGAGTTGGCAGACTGTCCCACAGGTTCAGCCTGTTTGTTTTTAAAAATAAAATTTTAAAAGAAAAAATATGAGAAAACAGTAAAATGGAAACGAAGATTTTGTAAATAGGGAAGGATGGAGAGGATGAAGGGAGGGCAGGGTTATGGGGAAAAAATGAGAACCAAGACCTGTCATGTAAAGGCCCAAGATCCCAATGATGAATGTAACTGTACTGTATACCTAAAAAGTACCAATAAACTTAATGAGAAAAAATTAAAATAAAGTCTTGTTGGAACCCAGCCAGACCCACATCTATGTAAACCCTCCTGAGCAGCAGAACTGAGAAGTCCTGACTGAGACCTTGTGACCCACTGAGCCTGAAGTGTTTATTCTGTGGCTCTACAGAGAAAGCGTTCGGGAGGGTCCCAGATTGAGGTGGAGGGGAAGAAGAAAGTCACTTCTACCAGCAGAACCTGGAGAGAAAGGGAAGAGCGGTTTAGGTGCAGCAGATGAGAGAGATTTCACTGGAGCCAGCTGACCGGGAGGGCTGACTGGCTGTGGAGATTGAGAAGGGTGTGGTCTCGATGAGTTGAAAAACCAAGGCCGTAAAGACCTCAGTGGGGCCAGTAAAGGAGAATCAGGAGTTGTCTAATCTCTAGACCTCTGTCAGCAAACTTTATTTTGAAAGCCACTATATAGTAAGTATTTTAAGTTTTATGGGCCACATATACTCGCTTTCTTATTCTGCAACCTATATAAATATAAAAATCATTCTTAATTTGAGAATAGAACAAAAATAAGTTGTGGCCATACAAAAACAAGCTACAGATCGTAGTTTGCTGACCCCCAGTCTGGCCTCCTGGATGCTGGTCACCGAGTAGCTGTTTGTCTGCAGCATTGAGCAAGGCTCTCAGCTTCTTTGGACCTGATCCCTGGATATCAGAGTTACAGCCTAAAGTATGTGTTTCTAGGGTTCATTTTCTCAAGTTCTATAATTTTAAGATGAATTTGGCTTTACACAAGTTGGGCTTTCAGTGACATGGAAATTTCTGGCACACAATACTTGAGCCTAAAATAGGCCTGAAGGATTTAAAGAAATTCATATTTCTTCTTAGTTCAGGAGTCACCCATTCAGTTTCTAGATAAGTACCTTGATGGCATGTTCATAAGCCTGCTCACTTCTGGTCAGCGATGTGTGATTGATAAGTACTCCCTCGAGGTGAGACTCCTTAGAATCAGTGCTAATGCATAAGCAGCACCTTGAGACCAGGATGAAGTCTGTCCTCTCCTCTAAACATGAGAGCTATATTATAACCCCTCCTGATCAGAGGAAAACACTTCAAAGCTGATATTCTTGCAGTCAAACATTTTGGGTGTGTGCTTTATCCTAGCACCTCCTAAATTCTGGGTCTATAGCCCCTATTCTCTGGGCACCTTAGAGTTAGAGTTGGTCTTTCTGTAGTCATCTGTACACATTTCAAGTGTCTGCAGCCTTTGTGATTCTGGAACCTTCAGTAAACTAGTTAATTGCCTTCTGGACAACATAGGAAGGGAAGTTAACAGAGCAAGTTAGAGCTGACAGTTTAGATCTGGAAATGGAAGTAGTGGAAGATGAGATCTCAAAAGGGAAAACCAGAGAGCCAAAGACCACAGTTTTTCAGGTGAGGATAAGGGGACATAGGAAAAAGTACAGAAAGAACTTGTAGAGATGGGAGAAGTGCCTGGGAAACTTACCATTATGGCGAATAAAGATTTTTGAAGGGGAAAGGGTGGATCTGCAGTATTTTTGCTGCAGAGAAGTAAAGGAGAATAGAAACTTGGGAACAGTTCTAAAACTTCTCGGTGTGAGAATGGTGAATGCCTAGTGGTGGAATGCATTTCACTTTTGAAGTAGAGTCCCTTTAGGGCCCAGGATTTAGTTCAGTGGTGTCACCGCCTGCCCCGAAAGCGCAGAGTCCTGAGTTTGATCCCGGTTCTGCGGGTTGGTGGCGGGGTGGGGGGGGGGGGGGGGGGGGGGTCCCTTTAAAGAGATACTAAAAGTAGACACAGTTATAGTCAATGTCCATTTTTTCCAAACACTTTTATCATGAACTGGTTGAAGTTGGTCATTCTTAATTCCTCCCCTCCCTTTGAAATGCAGGCATCTGCTTGATTTTTTTAATTAAAACTTGGTATATATTTTTATAACAATTGTTTCCATGATTTGTCCCTTAATTGGACTGGGCTGATTTTAGCACAGTATACCTTTTTAAACAGTTGTTATTAGTAACCTCATTCTCTAATTAGATTTATTCCCACGTACTTGGTGATAGCTTCAAGGAAGTGGAGTGCATATTAAGTGGTGTATTTTAAAGCTTTTGTATTGAAACCTGCCAGCCGCTTTTACATGGAGCGTGTAACACAGCCTTGTCCTTTACCTTCCCTGCTTCGTGTAAGTGACCTGAGATCATCCAGGATGCGGCTCCTCGAACTGTTCACTGACCTGAGCTGTAACCCAGAAATGATGAAGTCTGCAGCAGATTTGTACTTTTCACTTCTGCAAGGTTGGGTATTTATATTCACTTCTGAGTTTAAAAAAAAACTTTGAAGAAGCGCACATTAATTCTTAGACTTCTTAAATTTGTGTAGCTTAGTGTTGCAGGCTGTGATAGGCATGAGTTTCAAAACAGATTATAATGGTAGTGTGTGTTCTGACATTTTGGAAATTAAATGTATTGTGCTTCATAGGATGTCCTCTCAGGAGACAGTGTAAGATGTAGTCAGGGAGAGAAGGGCCAGAAGTTTCATTCAGACACCTGGAAAAGTAATTATCTGAAAAATTTAAAATAGAACATGATATTTCTTCTAAAACTAAAATGACTTGTATCTTCTTATAGGTTTCATAAATTCACCAGAGGAGTCTACTCAGGAAAGCAAATTACGCTATATTCAGAATTTCAAGTGGACTGATACATTGCATGGACAGGTTCCAAGGTAAACAGTGCTCACGTAGGTCCTGAACCAAAGCTAGTTGTTAACTCATAGCCTCTGTGTTTGAAGGTGATAAATGTAAGTCTGAGCAGCATTTTTTCTTACCAGGAAAGTAATTAAAGGCATTTTAAGTGAAAATGTAACATTTCTTCCACACCAAATCTATTCTTGAGATAAGCAGTATAAATATTGACAGAAATGAGCAGCTGTGACTTAATTTTAACAACACCTAAGAATGTTTAGGGAATTTGGAACCCAGACTGACTTTCAATCTTTGCCTACCTTTAAGCCAAGCAGAATTTTGGTTTTTCCCTACTTTCCCTGCCCAATGGATAGTTCAGATGTCTTTGGTCAGTCTGGTTTTTCTCTTAACTGCATACTCTTTTTGATTCTCAGCATTTGTTTTCTCCTTGTTTCTCTTCACTTTTCTGCTCTTTTTTAAAAAAACTTCCCTTCAGAGTTTTTCATCCACCACTATTTGTAACTACTACTATTTGAAACTATTTGTAGTAGATCTAATTATAACAGGAATTACATCATTACAGGCTAACTTTAGTTGGCTACTTCTTTGAAAACACCACTGGATTGTCAAGGGGCCCATATATCTTGATTTGCTTTAGAATTACTGTTTTATAAAAACAGAAAGGAAGAGACTGGAGATTGCACAGGAACGGGGTGGTGCATGCAGGAGAGAGAGTGGCTGTGGAGTCTCACCTACTTAGGTGCACACACAAGTTTTCTGCTGAACGCACGTTTGCTGCTCCAGGAGATTGTGGGTCACAGGACTTAGGAACAAAACAAGAAAACTTGCATTAAGTGAATAAGAATGCAGGCATTTAAGGAGATAATCATCAAATGTTAGTTTCCTTCCTTGTTTGGGAATATTGTATGTAGATTTAATAACCTGGGTAGGAAGCAGGGAATATAGGTCCTTTCTAAATATTAGTGTTTTGGCATACTGAGATTTTCTAATACTTTTTTTGTTTTTCTTTATAATCCCTTTTCATCCAAAATTAAGGAAGTTTTTAAATTTGACTATCCTTAAGCAAACCTTTATCATTATTGCTTTGCAAACTTTAACAGATTCTAAAATGTTTTGCATTTCGTAAATTTGGCACTGTTCTCTTGTGCCAAATTTTTGTTCCATGTTACATCAAGCTACTGTTTATCATTGTTCCAGCATTTTATGAGATGGGGGGATTACATGATGAAGACCCTAAGTAATACTGAAAATGCAGCCCACGTGAGATGTGATTTTCACTTAATCAGTAGAAGCAGCTGTGAATATATCAGTTCTGAAAAGGGTTTCTTCCTTGGGGTGTGCTCTGAGTACCACTTAGGTGTTGTGCCACAGAAGTGGAGTATTTTGGAACAAGATAGATTGAAGTAAATGAAAAGGGAGAGAGCTGGTCCTGAGTCTTCACATACAGAGCAAAACTGTCTCATTATTTAGAGATGAATTTGTACATTATATGTGCCTACTGGATCATCAGGTATCACTCAGAAGTTCTTCATGATGTAAAGAATAAGCCATTCTTTCACTTCTTTTTGTTTTTCATTCTTTCATTTCTAAGAAGATAAAACCATTTTAGGGAGTTTTCTTAAAAACATATATTTGCACATTATAAATAGGAGTTTATAAATTATTCCTTTTTTTTTTTTGGTGTTTTTTTTTTTTTTTTTTTTTTTTTTTTTTGGTTTTTTGAGACAGGTCTCACTTTGTCTTTGAGACTGACCTGGAACTCACTCTGTAGCCCAGGCTGGTCTCGAACTCACAGCGATCCTCCTGCCTCAGCCTCCTGAGCGCAGGGATTACAGGCGTGCGCCACCACACCCGGCAGAAGTTTATAAATTATTCTTAATTGCAATACGTTTTCTAACTCTTTGTGGTAATTGCAGTTGAACCCAAGGCCTTACACATGTTAGGCAGCACTCTAGCACTGGGCTACACCCAAGACCACAGATTTTTTTCTAATCTAAAATGTTGACATGGCTCATCCCTTTCACAATAAATAAAAAATACAAAGTACAGTTAAAATTTAGTGTTTTTTTTTCCTTTGGGTAACTTTTCTGTATCTTAGTGTTTCATGTGTAAAGTAAGTCTGTCCTGCCTTCCTACTTCATCATTTGAAATAATGTGTAGGAATATTCAGGCTCTTGGAGTGACAGTGAATATATTGGTGTTAGTGTTTTATTTGCTTTATATGCTCTCTCTGTCTCCTTTATGCCCTAATTAGTGATAGATTATGAAGGAAACAAGGGGTAAAAATGTTTGCTTTCAAGACCTTCTTTCTTTGTAGAACACTCATTGGCTTGGCATTCAGAACCCTTCTTCAGTTAGATTTCTTTTAGGCTTTTTGTACTTCTTTGCCTTGATTGCTTTTTACATACTGTCTGCTCCAGTCAAACAGGTGAGTTCAATTCTATGGAAATATCTTGTGCTTTTGACAGCATCATTTCCTCACCTGGGGTGTCTTTCTGTTTCCCTTCTAGTCATCGTCATTCAGGGCAGTTTAGATTTTATACATACCAGTAAGACTTCGTAATGATTCTAGCCTAAAACCACCTCTCCTCTGAATTCCATTTTCTTAATACATTGTATAAGTACCACCCATTTCAGAATAAACATACTGATTCTGGACCCTGTCCCAGACTTTCTGACTCTCTAAAGTTAAGCCCTAAAAATTTGTGTTTTTAAAGCTATTCATGTAAAAGTTAACTTTGGGAGCCACTATTCTCAGTTTATTAGTTAAAAGTGCGAAGTACATACTGGACCAATGTATTTAACCATTTTTAACCATTGTTTTTTTTAGTTTTGTTTTTGGTACCAGAGATCAAACCTCAGGACCTTGTGCTTGTGAGGCAGGCAGCGGTACTGCTGAGCTAAATCTTCAGCCATAACCATTTTTAATTACTGTGTGACTTTATCTCCTCATCTGTATTAAACACAAGAAATCAAGAACTACTTTCTTCCTTTTTTCTCTTTCTTTGGATACACACACATATAAGTTAGTTTATAGTTTGTAATTGTGAACTGAATATCTAGTATACTTCATTTAGCAATGTCTTAATAATTTGTAGAACTTAACTGAATGTATTTTTAACCCCAGTGCCCAGCAGGATGCTGTTTTTGAATTAATTTCCATGGGATTTAATGTAGCTTTGTGGTATACCAAATATGCTTCAAGACTGGCTGGAAAAGAAAAGTAAGTTAAAAAGAAAAGTTTATGTGCATGTCTATGTTATCTTTCAAATATATTGAGGTTCATTTTTTAAAAATTCTTGGCCATTGATTAAAAAGTGCTACTTAGGGTAAGTGCTTATATTTTAAGTACGGTGTTAGAATTATGAAGCCTAGCATTAAATGGGAAGTTTTTTAATAATCTTGTTATGTGGAAGGTCTTTCTGAAGAAGACCCAAAATCATGAAGGAAAAGATTGAATAGATGACTACATAAAAGTATTATAAACAAAGTTCAAAAATAAACTTCAGGGTTGGCCAAAAACATTACAGTGCATATGATAAATTGTTTATTTTTATAATGTATGCTCTTACAAATCAAAAAGGAAAATAACAAACAGGTAATTCATAGAAAAACAAAAGGCTCATAAATATATGAAAAAATGTCTTGAAGGACTAAACTGCAAAGTAAGATGATTTATAATTTTTATATAGCTAAGGTGGATACAGTAATTGGAAACTGGCTGTCAGTTATGATTCATCCACACATAGGAATAATATACAGCTACTTTGAAATGAAGCTGAATTCTGTGTGCTGACATAAAATTATCTCTGTACTATAGTGATTAAAATAAGCAGATGTGCATATTCTGAGTGTTTAACGTTTGTCCTTGTTTATGATGGAAGAGTCTGGAAGGGAAATACGACTTTGCCCAGAGTTTACCTGTAGGCAGGGTCGTCTCTTGTTTTTTCATCTGTTCTGTCTTCTCTTTGGATATTGTCTTAGCTATTTTCTCATTGTTGAGACACAATACCTTATAACCACAAGTTAAAGAAGGAAAGGATATTTTGGCTCACAGTTTGTAGAAGTTTCATTCCATAGTGAGCTGCTTCCAAGGCAGGACGGCATCACAGAGGAGGAAACAGTCCATGGCAGGGTAGGCAGGAAGCAACAAGATTTCCTTCTTTCCCTTGTTATTTCTTCTAGACTACAGTTGGTTAGTGGGTCTTCTTTCTCAATAAACCCATCGCCCACACCCAGAACTGTGTTAAATCCATCATTGGACTAATCCAGTATCACACCATGATCCAGTTATGCCCAAAATCCCCATGTATGAGTGCATGAGGCTTTGGGGGACAGTTAGATATTAATCATAAAAGATATTTTTCATGTGCATTTTTTAAGTGTCAAAATTAGATGTCTTCGCGGAAGAAAACTATTGGTGATAAATAATTTGGTTTAGTAATTGTATATTAGTTGTTGGTATTAGTAGCACAAATCAGATCCATCCTCTAACTAATGCACTTGTTGTCTTTAAGCATAACAGAAGATGAAGCAAAGGAGGTCCACCGAAGCCTAAAAACTGCAGCTGGGATTTTTAAACATTTAAAGGTAAAGAAAAAAAGTTAAATTGTATGTATTTCTAATGCTTTAATTCTTCAATTTTTTTTCCAAGGGAATAAAATGGTTTCCTTTTGTAGAGTCCAGTCCTTCCAGACCCTGTGGAACATCTGCTCCTAGATAGACTACCCCTTTTTCCAGGAAGCAGAACTCTGAATACTCAAGTCCCTTTTATAAAATGGTGCAATATTTGCATGTAACTGAGATACATTCTCCCTTATACTTCTTAATTTTTTTTTCCCCCGTGTTGGGGACCGAACTTGGGACCTTGTGCTTACGAGTCAGGCGGTGGCACCACTGAGCTAAATCCCCAGCCCTCTTATACTTTTTAAATCATCTGTAATAAGTACATGCTGTGTAAATTGCTGTACCGTACTGTTGAGGGAGGAATGACAAGGAGTGGTGACATGTTCGGCACAGATGCCATGTTTTTTTGGTTTGGTTTGGTTTTGGTGGGGGTGGGGGGGAGTTGTTTTTTGTTTTTTCTGGTACTGGGGATCAAACTCAGGACTTTGTGCTTACCAGGCAGGCGTGGTGCTGCTGAGCTATATCCCCAGTAGATGCCATGTTTTTCTCAAATGATTTCAATTCAAGGTGTTTGGTCTGCAGGCATGGAACCCTCAGATAATACAGGGCCAGCTGGTCACGTTCTCTTTCCGGTGTGAACTGCCTGATTCATGAGGGCGGCCAATTTCTGATTAGTTGTGTCTCCATTTAGTATGGAAATTCCCAGTCAGTCTCACAATTAGAAAATTCAGGTTATGATACCATGCTTATTTTCGTCTCTTCTGAAAAGACAGGAGAATACAAACCAGAGAAATTAGTTTTTCTTACCATCTCTCATTGCTCTCTGGAGCATCTGCAAAGCGCAGGCCCGATTCTACCACAGCCGAACTTCAATTGTGTCCTTAATGTCTCAGTGCAAACACCAGAGGAGCAGTCAATCACATTCTAATGATACTGAGCTACCTGGGGATGTTTTGGAGTTAGAGAAACAGTAATGTTATTTTCCAGCCAGAATTCCCTTCACCTCATTCTAATTAAACTGCTATTTACTGAAAGCCTCCTGGAGCCCAGTGTTGGGTTTGTTGTTGTTGTTGTTGTTGTTTTTATTTTTGGTACAGGGCATCGAACTCAAGACCTTGCAATTCTGAGGCAGGCGCAGTGCCGTTGAGCTAAATCTCCAGCTCTGTGTTGGGTTTTTGATGGCATAAGGTGCTTTTACAGTAATTAGAGGCTGTGAAGAACTGGGTGTGGAGTTGTAGTGTTTTTTTTTAGCTCTAATTATTAATGTGAATGAACAATTCAGGCTGTCAAGCAAAAGGGAATTTTGGTTACTTAGTTAAAACATTTTCTAAGTTGAAGTTATTTGCATTTCTAAGCAATCTATATACTGTATCCAAATTTGCTTTTGAATTTCTTTTAAAGCTGACTCAATATATATAGAAGCTTATATTCTCTGTGAACTTATGGTTGCTCCTTTTCATTTGTGTCTTCAATCTCTGGTACGTCTCCAAATGGACTCACGACTCCATTTTCCTCATCTCTAATGCCTGGGTTAAAATAAAACTTGGCGTCTTTGTGCTCTGTTTTCTTTTGCTCAGGAAAGTCACATCCCAAAGCTTATCACACCCGCAGAGAAGGGACGGGACCTGGAGCCCCGGCTCGCAGAGGCATATATTGTCCAGTGTCAGGCAGAAGCTCAAGAAGGTATCCTGAATACTGTGAGATTGTTTTTAAAGAATATCTATATTGGTATTTAATTTTTTTCTCTTTTAAATCAGAAATAGCTGTATAGCTGTAGTCTTATTTTCAGGTTTTGAGAAATTTGTGGGAGTAACTTCCCCTTTTAACATCAGGCCTCGTAAAGGAAAAGGCCTTTCAGATTAGTGGCTCTTACAGGTTTTGGAAAAAAATCAATTGTGATGGTTTGTACTTCTAATCCCGGCTACTTGGGAGGCTTGGAAAGAGGATCACAAGTTCAAGGCCAACCTAGGCAACATAGTAAGACCCCCATCTCAAAAAAAATAAAAAATAAAAAATAAATGAATGATTTTGGTTCCATACCATTCCAAACAGTGAGACTCACGTGATAATACAGAATTTCATAGGGTTTGATCTTTCTTTATTTCAAATTCTATTCCTCTAAAATTACTGCTCTTACTGTACCATACTATTAATAGTAATTCTCTCTCTGAGATTAGCTAAGTCATTGGCTGGTGATTGATTTAAAGAAATGGTATCAGAACCACCAACCTCAGTGTTTTCATTTGTGTTTGAATTTTCCATAACATTTCATACTAAACTCGGACTGCATGAAAACCCAGAAGGGTGTCAGGCTGTCTTTCACTGTTCTTGTTGGACTTACTGGGGAGGAACACGATTTATTTCCAGACCCCTCCTCTCATGTTTTCCTTACAGTGACAATTGCCCGGGCAATTGAGCTAAAACACGCTCCAGGGCTGATTGCCGCGTTGGCATATGAAACGGCCAATTTCTACCAAAAAGCAGGTGAGCTCCTACATGATTTCTTTTGTTATACTTTTAGTCTGTAGAGTTTCTGATTTGTAGCTTCTGGGCTGAATAGGGGATGGAAATGCAGATTTTTCCACTATCTGCAAAACTGGAATATCTTCGTTATTGTATTGATCTTGTTTTAAAGAAGTAGGGCTGCTTAGTGTTAATAGGCTACGTAACTTCTGCTAGAAAGGACAGGGCTGTGCTTTGTTAACAGTCATAACTAGTAGCTGTAAAATTTATTTGGTTTTGACATTGGTTTTGGTCTTTATAGCAATCTTACCATTGCTGCAGTGTTCTTATTTAGACAATAAACTGGCACTAAAGTGTTCACGTGCCCAATCTGTCACTCATAGGGGCGGGAGTGGGCCTGCCACTCTGGTTATATTATTCTTTGTATTCACCTATTTAAGAAACATGCATGTATTTCCATTTAAGAAACAGTTACTATTTTACCTGCCGAGTAAAGCAAAGTTAAAAAGATTGGCAGCCTTGGGATGGAGTCATACTTGTAACCGCGTTATTCTATCACATGATATATGAAATTCTTGTAGCAATAAAATAAGAAACTGAACAGTCAGGGCTCTCTGGGGAAGGCTTTCTAGAGGAAGGTGGCCTGTTAGCTTCATCTTGGAGTTCAGAGAACTGTTCTGAGTTTCTCAGGAACCTTCGGCCTGTGAGAGTAGAGCACCTGTCCAGTGAGATGAGCGGGAGCCGAGCACTTCTGGGGCTGCACATGGCTGCTCTTAGCTGAGACACAGGGGGCAGGGAGGGGGACTGTGCTGGGACGTGTGGGTCCAGAGTGATAGCTGGGACCTGCCACAAGACACCAGTTGAGTCTGCCTCGCCTGGATCTGCTCTAGAAGACCCAGGCTGTCGCTGACGGGCTGGCCCCACGGGGACCTTTGCTGACCTGGCGCTGATGGAGACAGCGAAGTAGGAAGCGGAAAGGAGGAGGGGCCTGAGCGGTGTGCGTGTGCAGGGCCATGGGAGTGTTTGACACAGGGTTCCGTGAGACGTTGCACGTCCTCACTGTCCCTGCCTTGGGTGACTAGGCTACTCCAAGCTGCCAGGTTACATAAACTCTGAAACAGGGTGTTGTGGCAAATAGTTCAAAAGGACTTTGAAGTCCTTGGGCACATTAGCATATCTGTAACTTAAAGTTCACTAATCATCGAACCAGAGGGGTACCGTGGTATTTAACTGTTGTTACGGATTTTTTGCATAAATGCTTGAGTTTTAGATTGAATGGCATTCTGCTTTTAGCAACAGAACACATAAACTAAAAGTCTTCTAGTGAATCAGGGTGAAATGATATTTTACTTTTTAAAATGTAACTTTAGATCATACTTTATCCAGTTTGGAGCCTGCATATTCTGCTAAATGGAGAAAATATCTTCACTTGAAAATGTGTTTCTACACAGCTTATGTGAGTATAAATAACTCTAAAAACAACAGATTGTTGGGAGGGCTGGAGATTTAGTTCAGTGGCACTGTGCCTGCCTTGCAAACACAAGGTTCTGAGTTTAATCCACAGAACAACAACAACAAAAACAACCCAAAAAAGCCAGGTCACTGGGGCTCACCTCTCCAGACCCAGATTCTTCAGCGTCTCACGCATGATGGACAGCGCACTGCCGTGGGGACTGCAGTGAGAGGGGAGGGCTGGGCTGCAGGAACAGCATCACGCATTGATGGGAAGCCTGCGTTCAGGAAGGGTCCCGCACACCCGGTGAGAGCTCTGCCGTGTCACCTGTACACTGAGCGACACGGATTCCACCTGCAGGTGTCCCTGGCAGCAGTTCACTGTGCTTGGTGAACTGTCAATAGCATTGTGGAAGTCACTAACCAGTGTAGTGTGCCCACCAAACACAGCTGTTTCATTGATTAGTATGACCAGAAGGACGTTCACAACCCTGTTTCAGGTCCAAGTCCATATTTTTCTTACACTCTGTGGTCTGTCTTGAAGCAAGCCATTGGAGGCCACGTGCAGTCTGTAGTGATGTGGACAATTAAAGAAGAAGCCTTCAGGCTGATGCGCCTTTCTCTTAAAGCCTATCCAGGCCTTAACATCAAAACACTTGTTCTGCCAGGAAGTGGCTCAGTGGTGCCTCGCCTGCCTTGCAGTTGCAAGGTCCTGAGTTCGATCCCCAGTACCAAAAAAAATTTTAAAAACTCTTGTTCTGCATTAGTACAGTACTTTCCTCCTTTAACTGCTCTGTCTCGCTTTTAATTTTGTTCTGGTACTGGGGCTCAAACTAGGATATTGCACTTGGGAGGCAGGTACAATGCACCTGAGCTAAGTCCCCAGCCCTGCTCTGGCCTGATTTTAAAAACAGATTTCAGCAAGTAACTTTTGCTCTCAGGATGCAGGTAGAAGGCTATTTGGGCTCAAGTCCTGACTGATTCCACCATTTATAGGAACAGAGATGGGGAAAAGCTTGCTCACATAGAGATGTAAGGGGTTGTGCATTAGCAGACGAGACCCGAGATGAACGTGAAGGCCTTTGTGTGTCCGACACATGCGTCCGTCTAGGGAGAGTGAGTAAGAATGGTCTCTTTCCAGGCATACTGCTACCATGGGCAGACCCTGCTGGCCACTGACAAGTGTGGCGAAGCCATCAGGTCTCTCCAGGAAGCAGAAAAATGTAAGTGTTCCTGTCTGAATTTTAACTCCTTCGTAAAAAAACAAAGGTTTTATCCTAAAACAATAAATAGGTAGCTGAACAGAGTTCAGCGAAGCTCCTAAGGGGGCATAGGTGAGGTCCCTGGAGGACCGAAAGCAGTGTTTCAAACCCAGATCCTGTAGCAGAGGCCCACTTTCCACTTGTGAGCACAGCGTGGATGTTGCTGCTGCACTGGGAAAACGTGCAGAGGCCTGGCTCCCTCGGACTTGAAGCTTTTGCACTATAAATAAGCAGCATGTAAGTGTTAACAAACGACTGTCTTTCCTATGCAGTGTACGCCAAGGCAGAAGCGCTCTGCAAAGAGTATGGAGAGACCAAGGGGCCCGGGCCAACGGCCAAGCCTTCAGGACACCTGTTCTTCCGGAAGCTGGGGAGCCTGGTGAAAAGCACACTGGACAAGTGCCACAGGGAGAACGGGTTTATGTAAGCGCAGCTTCGCGTCTCCTGTGTGGACTGTCAGTTCATAGTACTAATGTGTCTGCCTTTCAGCGGTGTCCAGGCTGCTCGGGCTAAAGTTCAAGTGGGTACAGCCTGTTTTTTACCCTGTATCTGCTGATGATGTGTAAGGAGTAGACTGCGAAATTTGAACATGAATTATTAATGCATAGCTCGCTTCACCAGGATGCTCCCATGATGTCCTCATTTTCTTTCAACTTTGTTTCCCTGTCATTCTTTCTAATGCATTGATACACACATACCTATTCCTTTGCACGTTCATCTCTAGTTGTACCTCCCTATAAAGTGGAAGATGAATTGTCTCACAATCTGTCCTGGTCCTTTCCAGCAGTTTTCCACTTTTGAGTCAGTGTTTAAGCTGCAGGTCACCAGCTCTGTGTGTTAGTAGAATCAGCCCTGCCCCTGCCTTTGTCTCTCTTCCCCTGGTGCTCTGTATCTGGCCGTACTGGACTTTCCCTGCCTCCAACACGCCCAGCTCTCCTTTCGTCACTGAGCCCCAGCTCTTTGTCTTCTCCTGTCAGTCTGTCCTGAGCATTGTCAGGGACAGTGCACTCTTCATTGGCATTCTGAGCTGCAGGAAGCAGAGAGATCTTACTCATCATTAAACTGGGCCTTGAATATGTTAGAAACTCAGGTAGTCACTGAATGAATGAGTGAACCACTATTTAAATTGCTTTTGCAGTTACTTTCAAAAAATTCCAACAGAAGCCCCACAGCTGGAACTCAAAGCCAATTATGGGCTGGTCGAGCCTGTGCCTTTCGAATTTCCTCCTGCGAGTGCTCAGTGGGCCCCGGAAACGCTGGCTGCATTCGACCTCACCAAGAGACCCAAGGATGACAGTGTAAGAGCTGGGTTCGTCCATCCGCGAGTTTGGAAGGAGGATCCAGAGTTAGCATTTGATAGCTCTTTGTTTAGATATGTGGTGCATCTAAGTGTTAAGCTGGCTAATTGCAGGGTGCATTGAAGCGGTGCAGATCACTCTGACGAAGCCTCTAGACCTTCAGGGTCTTGGGGTCTCGACAGGACTTTGTTTCCAGCAGTGATTTTGCCTTATAACGTGTCCCTGCTTCCTTGGAGAACAGCTAGGAAAGATCATCGTGTTTGCATTGCTGTAGCCCTACTCTCTTTGATTTGGCGTTATTGTAGAGTATTTGAAGATTTTTGCTCTAGTTTCATCATTCTATGAATCATCCAGAACAAAATATTTTATTTATTAACACCTAAGTACATCTTGAAATTGAGTCCAACAATAGTTTACATGGAAATTTTGAGATATAACTACCAAAAGACCAGGGACCTGTAACAGAAGGAAAGGGAATTATTTTTCAACCATAGCCCCACCCTTCAAATTGTATTTTTATGTCATTTCCTTCCCATGCTAAAATCATCATTCCTTAAAATAACCATCTTTGTATCCTGTTCAGCCTTTGAAACAAAGTCCCCAGGCAGCCTGTTATCATTGTAAGTTATTTCTGAACTGAGGGTCTGCTGCATGGACTCCCTGCTCATACCAGATGTAGGAGATGTGAGCTCGACTTCTGCCCACCAGCCTAGGTTTCATCCTAAATGTGACCTGTTGGCTGTGTCTTGAAACAAATTGATGTGTAGCTTCTGGAATAGCTTGGTCAGTCTCCCAGTTTTGCCACTTAATTACAGCATGGTCTCACAGTCTGAAGTGAAAGAGGTGGCACGTGTGCTGTCTTGAGTCATAACCTGCTCACGTTGTGTTTTTCGTTCTTCCTAGGCCAAACCCAAGCCAGAAGAAGAAGTGAAACCTGTGAAAGAACCAGATATCAGGCCCCAAAAGGACACTGGCTGCTCCCTCTCCTGAAACACTGTATGCACTTTGATTTTCTCTGAGTAGATAAGAAAAACCATAGAGCTTCAGTTCTTCCTCCTTAAAATGACTGCTCTGAAGTCTAGGCTAAGCATTATTCAGAGAAAATCTGCCTTCCGTTACTTGTTCTTGATTTTGAACGTAGTGGAGATGCTTCTTGCCTTGCTCCCAGACTCCCCCTTCTAGTGACGATGTGAAAGGTTTATTGTGCCTCAGAAACACATATTTGAGGGTTGGATACTTTTTCAATTCTGGGTAGGTAGTTTTGGGTTAATGTATTATAGGCCTGGATAATGTGTTTTCAGGCAGGTTTTTCTACACAAAAACATTTATTTTCCTTCCTCTTATTTGATACCAGAAGAATGACAACCACTTTTGAAGAGAGCAGGTTTACCCCCTCACTGCTGTGTTCTTTGTAGAATAACTTTTGTTCTGATTCATTCATCTTGCAGACACTTAAAATGACCAGAAAAGCTTCATACCAGATCTTTTACATGTATTAGGGTCTATAATTCACACGAAAATCAGTGTTTCTGTGTTGAAACCTTTAAGAACCTACACTTATTTTGTAGTCCTGTGCTTCATTCAGTCTTAATGACCCTACAATAATTTTTACAAATCCCTTTTCTAATGCTTTTTTTACTTAGAAGTTAAAACTTTGTAACAGCGCTTAGTGCTTTTATATAAGGGAAGATAGAATGGGAAATGTTTTTTAAAGAAATGAAACATTGCATGATATAAAGAAAAAATTTAAATGAGTGAGATAGGTTGTCCTGAATGACACTGATAACTACTTCTTTCCTAAAGAAGTCTTAGTAAAATGCCTTTGTTTCCTGATTTCAGTGTATATTGTTTTTACATGATTTTCTAATATATGTATCCTACTGGAATTGTATTGCTTTAGGCCAAAGGCCACCGCAAAAACTTTTCAGAACATACATACAGTATGACACTAAAAATGGATTATAATACGTGAAACAGTTTGATGTATTCACACTGAAAAAGTAGTGGATGTATAAAACTTCAACAAAACCAACACATCTGTAGGTTACTTCCTGTTGATGACTCTCCTGGGCATTAGGTAATTTTCATATTTTAAATGGTGATTGGTTTACTTAATAGAAATAATAGTAGTGTATTTTGAGAGCTTTCTGTATGCCCAGTGCCATGCTGAGCATGTACATAGATAAACCATGGAATCCGCACAGCATCCCTATGAGAAAGGTGTAAAATCTGCAAAAAGTGTAGAAAGAGGAATGTACATTACCTTGTGAAGAATGAATAGGTTGATGTCTGTACTAGGCTTTTTGTCACTGGGACAGAATGCTTGGCCCACTCCTTAAGGAGAAAAGGTTTATTTGGCTCATGGTTTCAGAGATTTCAGTCCCTGGTTGCTGGCTGCAAGGCAGGGGGGTTCATCATGGTGGAGAGATGGAGGAAGACAGCTTCTCTGCCAGAAGCAGAGAAGGGGCCAGGGACAGGAGGCATCTCTAGGCCACTCTCCCAGTGACTCCTGCATTGCTCCTCTGTTGTGCTCTCAGTGTTAGCCTGGCCAGGCACAGGAACCCAGGGTCCAGCCTCAGATGGGGGAGCCTTGGGCTATGTGCGATCCCAAGCAGGACAATATCTGCTTGAGTCGAGACAATGTTCAATTAGATGGCAGCTTCAATCGTAGCTTTCCTCAAGACACCGAATAGAAGCAGGGCTTTTTAAAAAATACATGAAAGGGCCGGGGATGTAGCTCAGTGGCCCTGAGCCTGCCCCGCAAGCACAAAGTCCTGAGTTCGATCCCCAGTACCAAAAAACGGAAACGCTAATTAATGCTTATAACATTTAATATCTGAAACTGCAGTTTCCAGAATGTTTGGAATAATAGTTTTATTCTGCTGATAGAGAAAGTGTTCGATGTCACTGCATTTGTGTAATCATTACTAGAGATTAACCTGCTGCTCTGTGCTATTGTGACAGAATTTGAAGCAGTATTTACTGCCGCCTGTAGGCCCTGTGCACCTTAGATACCAGTGCTTGTTAACTTAGTAACTAAATTTCCACATTGAGATTGGAATTGTACCACCGCATGGAAACATAACATGCTCCGCCATGCAGCGCAGTAAATACCCCAGCAGTGGCGGCTTTGACACAAGCAGACAGTAAGTGGTAGGAGTGTCTCAGCTCAGCAGTGATCATTTTGGCTGGGACGCCCCATTGTCTTAGGCTTTTTGGAATGGTGTTGAGAATTTGGGGAAGTTACCGGAAGGCCGGCGAGCTGGAACTGCTGGTGCTGCATTTATGCATGGCATGCTGCTTCTGCCGAGTGGGGTTTGTATGATGAGTTCTCTTTTTATTTATGAAAATAAAAGCAGCTTTACTTACAATGTCCTTGAGGTCTCTTCCTGACAAAGACATCTGTAGTTACTAAGCCCGCAGTGCCACTTTGGGATCTGGTTTCAGGATGTGGGGCCGTTGCTCTCCACTCCACGGCAGGCTTGGCCTCTGCTGTTAGCTGGTGACTGTCACCTCTTCCTCTCAGAGGGGCTCGAAGGCTGTGTGCATGTAGTGTGTGACATTCGGCGTGGCGCAGTGTTTGTGCTCTGTGCACTAGAGGGGCCCCTTTCAGTGCTGCACAGAAACGCAGAAATGAGTCTGGAAATACTTTCTGATCCAGTTCTTGGGAATCCCGTGTTCTCCATTATCGCATGTGGCAGTAAGCACACAACACCACCCCGGGTTGCCATGAACATGTGTCTGCAGGTGGCTTTCTGTGGCACCTGCTGTCATCGGGCCAGGGGAACCCAGCATTTCTCAGGGGCAGGTGTGGTTTGCTGATTTCTGTTTCTCATGGCCCCACTCTCCTGTGGCACACATACCCTGGGCGTCAGTCCCCGACCATCACGTGTGCCCTGGGTATCCCTCCCTGGCCGGACCCCTTGGGAGGCCTGAGGCCTGGCTTCCTGAGCCCAGAGGTGTCCAGACCTTCAGACCATGGGGACCAAGCAAATAAGCCTGGAGCTCCATGTAAATTACTCAGTGGGTCCTTGCTCCATTTTTAACCTGGTCCACCTAGAAACACTGGCTAGGATGGAGAAAAACAAAAAATACCAAGTGTAGTTCTTTTTTTCTATTTTTTTGTTTTTTTGAGACAGGGTCTCACTGTATAGTTGAGACTGACCTGGAACTCACTATGTAACCCAGGCAGGTCTCGAACTCACAGCAATCCTCCTGCCTCAGCCTCCCAAGTGCTGGGATTACAGGCATGCGCCACCACACCCGGCCCTCAAGTGTAGTTCTTAGAAATTGATCTTCATTAAAAAAACAACAATCATTGCCAAGTGCCTGCTGTGTCCAGCATTGTGCTAGGCCCTGGGACACAAAATAAATGAGTCTCTGCTTTCAGGAGGCTCAGGATTCAGTAAGCAGTTTAGACCTCAGCTGGGAGGCTGAGGCAGAAGGACCATGAGTTCAAGCCTAGCCTGCATAACTTGGTGATTTAGCAAGACCCTGCCACATAATTAACAGTAAAAGAGGGCTGGGGATGTAACTTGGTGTCTACCTTGGGCTCTATCCCCAGTACCATAGAAGCAGTAGTGACAATAGCATAGACTAGGAAACGTGCCCAGATTATAGTTTGTGGTCATGGTAGCAGGAGAAGCTCAGATGGTGATCTGGGGACTCTGGAGAGAGCTGTGAGTGTGACCTGAGGGCAGCGTGGGGGTGACAGTGGTCAGGAAGTCTTTAAATCACAGCAAACAGTATTACGGGGTGGCTGAGGCGGCCGTCACTGTGGAGCCCTCAGAGAATTCGTGTCTGCACGCAGCGTGGAGACCATGGCTTGGGTCCAGTAGGTGCCGGTGAGTCCCGAGCCTCGCGGGCCTTGTGGCACTGTGGGGGTAGAGCACAATGTGTTGTCCTGGGTGCTCCCGTTAAGGCGGGGTCCCCAGGAGCTGTATCGGGGAGTGAGGCCCAGGCTTCCTGACCCCGGTGTGTGCCAGGTGCAGGAAGCAGCGCTCAGTCTAGGCTGGAGAGCCCAGAGGGAAGCCCGGACGGCACAGCAGTGCTGGGATCCAGGCAGCAGGCACGGTGTGGCAGCAGGGAGCGTGGTTCCCACTGCACAGGGCCTGGGGTGGGCCAGTCGTTTGGGCCTAGGAGTTCAGGCCTGGCCTGGGCAGCACAGTGTGACTTCAGCTCCTAAAAAGAAAAGGAGGGTGTAGGGGTCACGGGAACACAGCTACTTCCCGTCCTGGCTGCAGAGGACCGTGACACTGACAGTGCTCAAGGCAGGCTGAGAAGAGTCAACCCCACATCTGGCTTGTTCATGGAAGTGAGTCTGGCTGAAGCCTACGTGCCGAGGTCAGAGTAACTCGTGCCCAAATTCCATTCCTGCAACTAAAACCTGACTAGAAGGACAGTGTTCTAATTACAATAATATATTTTGTCTATTCTGTTACTGATTTGAGAATGCTTTGTCTTGTGATTTCTGAGCCTTCTTTACATTAATTTCCATAGAAACCACACATTGCTTTTACCCCAACTGATTGCCAATAAAAGTCAGTCCTGGACTGGCCAGCACCTTTGTCAGTTGCATCCTGGACACCGCTTTTGTCCTAGTTCTGTCTTCTAGTTTTGTCTCTCAGGCCTTCATTGCACACTGGGCAGGTGGGGACTGGAGATTTGCTGCAGGAGTCTCTAGCACCTGGCCAGGCTTCCAAATGCAGCCAGGGTGTGGTCTCTACAAGGAGACTCTGGGTAGAATTAGAACCCAGGAAACACTGGTAATTAATTTTTCAATTGATTTTTTTGTGTGCCCTGAACAGGAAAGCTAAAATTTATTTTAGCATTTTAGAAACTTTTCTTCTGCATACATACTAGATAATATGGCAAATAAAGAACTAGAATCTTCCCCCCCGCCCTTTTTGAGACAAGGTCTTGCTGTGTATCCCAGGCTGACCTCAAACTCGCAGCAGTCCTCCTGCCTCAGCCTCTCAAGTGCTGGGATCACAGGAATTCACCATGATGTCTGGCTAAGAATTTCGGTTAAAGATAAGATGCACTATTAAATAGAGATGTCACTTTCATAAGCAAGAAGTGGCATGAGGCAGGGGGACTAGAAAACCTCATGAAGAGGCGGGGCTGGAAGGGCTGTGGTTTCAGAAGGAAGCACTTCCTGGAGACCCTGCAGGAAACTGAGGTCTCCAATGCTGACTCTGACTCTGCAGGCCAGGCCTGAGGCCCCCTCGCTCCTGCTGAGAAATGTGTCTTCATGCAGGGAGGATTGGGCAAGAGTAAACTGGTAGCTGGTGCCCAGCCCTGCACACAGGGACAGTGGCTGTCTCACAGCTCAGGGGCCCAGCCAGGCCCGTGGTTAGGGTCTGCAAGAGCTGAGGAATCATCAGGAGGGGCGTGAAGCATGGAGGGTGGGAGACAGGACCGAGTTCTTTCAGTCTTAGAGTTTTGAGTGTCCCAGGCAATCAGTCTGGTGACTGATCCCTTCCAGGTGAGCTGAGACCCCATACCCCATGACAGCTCTTGTCACTGAGGGTCAGTACGTCAGCTTGTGAATTCTTTGGTCTCACTGAACCCAGGATCGGTGTGTGCTAAGCAAGTAGGACAGGGTGCAGCGGAAGGTACATGGCTCTCATGGGGACATCTGGGGCGTAGGGATGAGAAGGGGCCGCCCAGCTCCAGGCTGAGGAGGAAGAACCTCTCCCACTGCTGCCCCTGCACCACTTTTGTCTTGGGGCCCCTGGCCCTTTGCATTGCTTCACTCCATGGAATCAAGGTGCCGTGGTCGGTGGCAGAGAAGCCCTTGTGCAGCACCCCCAGGCGAAGGCTTCCCCATTCCGGAGCAGTGAAAGGAGTAGACTACAGGCCCGGCAGAGCCCGCTTCTCCAGGGGGGGCCTGGGGTGGGAGCCTACTCGGGAGGGAAGCAGAGGCCCAGGTCTGGCATCGCTGTCCCATCACCATGACAACGGCACCTAGGACAGCGGCACTTCCAGCCAGATCTGACTCTGACCCTGTGACTTGATCTCCAACACCTAGAACTGAAAGCAGCTTGAAAGTAACTGGATACTTTTTCAGTACCGATCTTTACAAGACCCTAGTGACACCTATTCAGTTAGTGTGGACATCTGCATAGCAGTATGCATGCCGTGAGGAACTCAGCGGGGCTCAAGGTTTTGTCATCTTTTGCCATGAGGCTTGAGAGCAGTCAGACACTCCTCAGAAGAAAACTTGTAATAAGGAAATTTCCCTTTCGGGGTCTGACATGGAGCATACACGTCCAGATGCCCCTCTGGCTCAGCTCAGGCTTGCTTCATAATTAGCCAACAGTGCTCACAGTGATACAGAGGGAATAGATGCAACTCCCAGACCTGCTAGGAA